ATTACAGAAAGGGAAAATATAGCAGACAAAGGCCATGCAAGGTATTCAATACTTATTTATTTGGGAAATAACTCAAGTTTTTTCTAACTCTGTCTATATACAGTTATGCTTGCAATAGGTTGTAAAATGAGCACTGTGCTCTGTTTTCAAGATGATCAGTGAGCATTTTAAATAAACAGAAGGTCCCCTCCCTTAAAAAAATCAGAGACCTCAGGCAGAAAATAGTAAAAAGACAATTTGGAATTTTGAGATGGCAGTACAGTATGTATAGAATGGATATTAGTATGTCATTGTTTCTCCCCTTTGACCTCAATCCCTTTTTCCTTCCTGTTACCCTTTGTTAAAAAATAAAATATTTTTTTAAAAAAGAAGAAAAATCAAAGAACTCCATAATGTGAGGCCTGAAGCGATAGATTATGTAGTCTGTGTGTGAATCTGTTACTGTACTGGTTTTATGAGAACTAAATCTCATCCTATGAACTCAGATGCAAAGTGGTAGCTGAGGTAGCAGAACCTTTTAATATGTGTTGGACTATAATGGCAACATCTGCATTCTGAAATAGAAGTCTACGTACATGTTACTGCTGTTTAGGGATTCTAAGAATTTAATTTCATTCTAATATTTATATTGTTCAGCAATAGGGAATGGAGGTTCTCACTGATCCACCTTGTAAGTGTGTATAAGATTGCAGTTGTAGGTAAGGATGGGTGGTGAAATCTCTGTTATCTTTCACTGCTGCCAAAGACTTGCCAAAGCACACCACCTCAGGCAGAAAGTAGCTGGATGTACCTTATTTTCTTTTCCAGGTTCTTCTTCTTTTCTCTTTGTTCTCCTCACTGATTTCAATATGGGGAGGAGATAATTATGCTACTTTCAAATTGCTTTCTGAGATTTTCACAGGAGCAATTGAACTTTTGGCATGAATCCACCCACAATTCCCAAAAGCTCTTTACTACCTCAAGCACATCTGTGACGTTTACCCCATGGCCCCAGTTTGTTTCACCATACACAGAGCTCATGAAGGTATCTCAACATGCCCTTTTACACACTGACACCAGTTGATCTCTTTATCAACTTATATTTCCCATGAAAGACTGTCCATTCTGTACTGAACTTTTAAACAGAAACAGGTTTATTGCTTACAGGTTGTTTTAGGAATAGTTCTTAAGCACATTCTTAAAGTTACACAAAGTTAGTATTTTACTTAAAGTTAGTATTTTACTTTAACCTCTTTTATCTTAATTAATACAGGTCACACTCTGACTTAGTTAGGCATCCTTCAGTCTCGAAAGACTATGGTAGCGTGCTCTGTATGGAGGGCTTGGAACAGCGCCTAGTGTGGCTGAGGAGGCCAATTCGAGAGTGACAGTCCCTTCCACACTGAAGACAAATCCAGTCTGTCCCCTGTCCGGCTCCCTGGTTTTGCTGCTTTTGTGACTTCCTCTTTGCCTCGGCCTGCTGGTTAAGCACATTCTTAAAGTTACACAAAGTTAGTATTTTACTTAAAGTTAGTATTTTATTTTAACCTCTTTTATCTTAATTAATACAGGTCACACTCTGACTAATCACTCCATAAACACTCTCCCTGCCTCAAACCCCCAAAACTCTTTCTTCTTCTCTGTCGTTGACTGAACTTCCTAGACTCTGATTCACCCCTCCCTTCTAGTTTCTCTGGCTCTGCCTCCCAAATGCTCTCATTGGTACATGCAAATAATCTTCTGCCTGAGCCAAAGCAGGGTGATCGCTACACCATCATATTCTCTTTAGCTTTGGGAGAATTAGTATTGGTCTTTTTCTTATCAATTTTAAAATGTCTTCAACATGCACCATTATTTATGCTCTGATATTTAGCAGCTGTTGCTCAGTCAGCCATAACATTAGTCATCGTCTTCGTGTTGCTTGCATTTTGACTGCTTAGTAAAAGGGAATGAGAGTTTTGATTTGGTCATCAGATCCAAGTGCTATTGATATTGCATCAGCACAAACTTGTTTTACATCAAAAAATAATTATTTTCTTCAGTTTAGTAATAACTGAAATGCTACTAAGGTACACATATTGTATTTGTTTTATCAAAGAAAGGATATAGCCCAGGATAGCAGGAAAGAACAAACAGGAAAGGAGAAATATTTAGGAAACAAAAAATGCAAGTTTATTGTGGGAAGAATTATCACTGTAAGAAAGAGATCAAAAACCAAGACATCATTTTGGGAAGTAATTAAGGAAAACAGAAAAATATTAAGCATCAACCTTCATGCTTCTTCTCTTTTGAACTCTATTACCAGCTATAAAAAACGTAACAGATTTGTTCAGACTCTGTTTATTTTCTGGGTATATTTATATTGTTCAAGCTTTATGTTATCCCAGAGAAACTAAATAGGGGAAGTGTCTACTTTGTGTTGTCCATAGGATGGATTTGAAAATCTTTTGGAATCTTACAATTGCTTCTGGTACATTCCTTAATATCATATATGGAGCAGGCTGACTCTTTTTTTGGCCCAGTTTAGAAGTCTGGCTATTAAGCTAAACTGGTTAGGAGCTTAAATGAAAAACTACCTGCTTTCATAACAACTTGCCTGATTGATTAAATGCTAGTATTTCTCCTAATACCTCATTTTTCAAAGGTGAGGCAACTTTGAATTGATGAAGTAACTTTTTAAAAAAGACGTAGTATTCTAGGTATGAAATGTCTTCCCCAGGTAGATGTACCTTTCCAAGTACCAGTACTGGTATCTCTGTGTCAGACAAAAAGCTTTCTGACATTTGAAGTATAGGTTATCTCTTTGTTTCATAGGAACTGTGATTCTAGTTATTGCACAATTGTGGAGGAGACTTGCCAGGTCTGAAGGCTTTAGCTGAAATCTCAGAGAATTGTTTTGTTCCTCTGGATGTCTAGCAATAGAGATAAACATTTATTATTTAAAATAATAAGGGAAAAGAAATTTTCATTTTTTGGTATGAAGTTGCCTAAGAGCCTGTGCACCTATTCCCAGCTGGAATCAGAGTTCACTGCCTCAGGTTCAGGGTGTTTGCATGAGTATTATGCTCACCCACCCAGCCCTGAGCCCTTTGCCTGTGCTGCCTCTGAGGTGTCGCCAGGACCCACTCCTGTGACATCAAAGGGAATTCCTTCTGTGTCTCACTTTTGATGCTGTGTATACTGTATATTCACTAATAAATATCAAGTCTGCATTACAGCACACATCCTATGTTTAACACAACATCTTTAGGGTAACAAGGAAACCAGGAAAACCACTGGGACAGTCTTTGTTGACTCTCAGCTGTCTATGATACTACTTACTAAAAATAAGTGTGGAATGCTGGTTCAATAGTTCGTGTTGGTTCATTTACCACCACAACAGGTGTTTAGTGATGCCCACTTGGCAGCAACGTCCCAGCTACCTTTTGCCCCCCCCGCTCCAGGCACTGCTTCTGAGTGGGAGCCTGCCAGACACCTGTTTGTACTATTTAAAATACTTTTATCCCACCTTTCTCCTTAAAAAGAACCCAAAGCAGCTATCTATCATCAAGTACTACTGTGAACATTCTAACCAAGGATAATAAGCTAACTAAAGTAACAGCAACCTTTTGCAAAATCACAGAATGTTTTCGATATTTTAAGGACAGTGGTGGCATTGCGGGTTAAACTGCTGAAGCCTCTGTGCTGCAAGGTCAGAAGACCTGCATTCGTAAGATCAAATCTATGTGACGGAGTGAACCCCCATGGCTTGCCCCGGCTCCTGCCAACCTAGCGGTTTGAAAGCATGCAAAATGCAAAAATGCAAGTAGATAAATAGGTACTACCTCGGTGGGAAGTTAAATGGCGTTCTGTGTCTAGTCAGGCTGTCCACGGGGGATTCTCTGTGGACAAACGCTATGTGTCTATTCAGGCTGGCTATGTGACCACGGGGGATTCTCTGTGGACAAACGCTAGCTCTATGGGTTGGAAACGGAGATGAGCACCGCCGCCTAGATTCAGACACAACTGGACAAAATTGTCAAGGGGAATCTTTACCTTTACCTAAGGACAGTGCAGTTGGTGGAGGACTCAAAAGAATGATGTAACCCAGAACAGCTCCTGTCTTATTCAATGACCAATCTTCAAGGCACCAAAAGTTTTATTTATGCTGATGATCTTGTGCATGCCACTAATCTGACAGCTTTCATATGATAGAATATCTTTTTAACAAATGCATTTTAAAAACTTATCATATGTTATCATAGAAATTAAGTTAAATCCAACCCTACTAGGACTTGGATATCTGCCTTCCATCTCAGAAATCAGGAGGAATTTCAGAAATTTGAGGTTACTTGGAAATGTGTCTAGTTAGACCACCCAGAAACTTTGGGTTTATTGTCTTCTGTACATTGAAGCCATTCAGACTTGTATTTTATTAATAAATTATCATTCTTGTTTTATTTATTTCATTTATGTGCTGGCTTTCTGAAAAGAAATTTCATCCAAAGCAGCTTGTATTCGTCAAATAAATGAATCAAATAATCAAATAAAAAATAAATAAAACTAAAAAGTTGAGAATATATGAAAACACAGTGAAAACATGTGTTGAAATTAAACAACGTTGTGCTGAACAGAGTCCTCCTCAATCAATAACAATGATTGTTGTGCCTTACTGCTTTTAATGTGTTTTTGGTGTTGCTTTTGCTTTCCATTTTTGGTATTTCTGTCATCCTTTTTATTATTTGTAAATGTATTATTTTTAGCTTTAAGTATTGTCTTTTAATGATAATAATCCACCTCAGATCCTTTATAAGGAGAAATGTGGTGTAAAAATATTTTAAATATTTCAGTCAATCAAATATTATTTGTGCATGACAGTAAATAATTCCTCAGGGATTCAACAGCAACATGTGGACTTTTTTCGGAATTCTGTACAAATGGGTAACTTTGGGATTCAACTGCTTATATGCCTCATAATTTGTAACTGTTCTACACCACAGAAATTCAGTTCTATGCATGTATTTTTGATTTGTTTTTTTTAGAAGTCTCTTATGCTTGGATCTTCAATGAATATCCTTCATTTGTGCAAGAAGACAACCGGCGATTTATTTCTCAGGAAACTGGCCACCTCTACATAGCCAAAGTTGAGCCATCTGATGTAGGAAATTATACATGTGTTGTGACAAGCACCTCAACAAATGCCAAAGTTCTTGGCTCACCAACACCTTTAGTGCTACGTAGTGATGGTATGAATTTCTTCTGTTGGAGTATGTGAAGTAGAAAGAGTTTAAAGTTGCAAAAGTTAGTTCTATCACATGTGCATCTTTTGGAACACACTGTTGGTGGGAGCGCACGTGTTCTCTGTTACTAGTTGGCCATCTTCTCCATTCAGCGACCCTATCATCATTTCATTGTTTTTCCTTTTGCTGCGGGCATAACTTTAAAAAGCCCTTTTTATTGTTTTTAATCTGTCTGGCAAGCCTGAGTTCATTGTGCACTTTTGCTTTTCTTACCTTCCCCATACATACTGTATATTGACTAGTTGCTACCTTCCACATTGACTAGTTCTTACCTTCCCCATACATATATTGACTAGTTCCTCTTTGGTGTTTTCCTCATTTTTCTATTTCTTGTACATTTTTTGACACTTAGCTCAATTGAAAGTTCTTTAGTCAACCATTCTGGTTTCTTTAGACATATCCCGTTTTTCCTTCTTATTGGAACAGTTTTAGATTGTGCCTTTAGTATCTTATTTTTTATTTATTTATTTATTTTATTTGTACCCCGCCTATCTGGTCATTGCAACCACTCTAGGCAGCTATCTCCCTTTTAGGAAATTCCCATCCTTCCTGAACTCACTTCTCTTTCAGTATCTTTGCCCATGGAATTGATATGATATGATAAAACTTTATTATGGCCAAAGACCAGCCATGTCCATGGAATTAGAGCCAGTAATTCTCTAAGTTTACTGAAATAAGCCTTCTTAAAATCTAGAATGTGTGTCTGGCTGCACTTGGTTTCCCCTTCCCACTGTATAACAAATTCCAAGACAGCATGGTCACTCCTCCCTAAGTATCCCACCACTTGCCTCTTCCACCTTCTGGACCATGAAACTGTCTGCAAGGCAAGTGCGGAATTTGCTGGACCTTATGTTCTTGGTAGAGTTTGTCTGCCAACATACATTGGGATAGTTGAAATTTCACATTACTACTGCATCTCTCCCTTTTGAATGTGTAGCCATCTGCTCCAGGAAGGCATCATCCAACTCCTTGGGCTGGCTTGGGGATCTGTAGTGTACCCCCACAATGACATCCCTCTTCTTTCTCTCCCCCTTAATTCTTGCCCAAATGCTCTCAACCTGCCTTACAGGATTTAAGTCCTGGATCTCTTCACAAGTATAAAAATCTTTGACAAATAAAGCTACTCCTCCTTTCTTGCTAGGTCTATTGCTCCGAAATAGTTTATACCCCCCAATAACTACATTTCAGTCATGAATTTCATCCCACCAGGTTTCAGTGATACCTATTATATCATTATTTTGCTGTATTAACAGTTCCAGTTCACCTTGTTCATTTCCCATGCTCTGTGCATTAGTGTAGGGACATTTAGGACTATGTGTGTTTTTTCCCCCTTGTTGGTCTCTAGTACTACTTGCCCTGCTGGACCTTTCTTGCCAGCACTTGCTGAATTTCTGCCCTGAAAACTATTGTCTCCCTCCCCCAGAACTCAGTTTAAAGCTCTCCTGATCAGATTTGTGAGCCTCTTAGCAAAAACATTACTGCCAACAGATGTGAGGTGCACCCCATCCCCTGCCAAAAGACGATCTTTGTGAAATAGCATGGTCCAAGAAGCCAAATCATTCCTGGCGGCAGCATCTCTGGAGCCAATTGTTCACCTCCGTTATTCTTCTCTCCCTTCATGGGCCATGTCCTTCAACAGGGAGGAGAGATGAGATTACAACCTGCGCACCAGGCCATTCAGTTTCCTACCCATATCCTCATAATCCTTTGTGATATCCTGAAAGCTATGCCTTACAGTGTCATTGGTTCCCACATGAACCAAAAAGAAGGAGTAAGAATCAGTGGGCTTAATGAGTCTTGGCAGTCTCTCTGTTACATCATGAATTTTTGATCCAGGGAGACAGCACACCTCATGATTCACCTTGTCAGGCTTGCAGATTGTGGCTTCTGTTCCTCTGAGCATGTTCCTCTGACCACCACAACTATCTCCTCTGAAGCTTGGTAGGGAACACTTGATGTACAGATTGTTCCAGGGTCCTCTGGGTATTCTCTGCAGGCTGACACTGCTGCTCTTGCTGCTGTTCAATTTCCTGATTAACAAGGGACAGAAGTTTGTAGCTTCAAACTCTCTCTGTAAGGTTCCTGGGCCTTCGACCTCTGTGTGTGACGTTCCTCCATGTGTCTGCCTCCTGTATATATGAACTGCCTTCCTCCTCAATGATGCTTTCTATATGTACTGTATTGAAGATGGTCTTCCCTGTCCCATCCAAGAAATCCTCATGCTCCCTAGTATTCCGAAGATTAGAAACATGGGCCTTCGGCTGCCGGACCTTATCTTCCAAGTGGGCCACCAACTTGCACTTGGTGCACGTGTAGCCAAGCGCATCCTTTGGCAAGAATACAATCGCATGCCATTGCAGGTGACTGGAGCAACTCCATCGCTCTCCATATCCATATTGAACAATTAGGTCAGTCAATTTAAAAAAGAAGAAGAAAGGAAGTCTGATCCTCTCCCTAAAACTCCCCTGCTAAATACCGTGTTGCCTTGCCTGTTTGCCAAGCACTGAGAGCACACGGTCAGAAACAAACTTACTCATGGAAACCTAAACATACACAGACAGACAGATTGAGAGAGAGAGAGAGAGAGAGAGAGAAGGATGGCCTCCTAGGCACAGCTTCTGCTCCCTCTGCATGGACTGAGCTTGAAAGCTGCTGGAAGCACTTGTATGGAGCTAAACTGCTAGTTCCACCCCCGTCAATATGGAGAGTGACGGAGTTACTCCAGTGACTCAGAAGAAGCCCCCCCCCCAGAGCATGTGCTCAGGTCAGAAACAAACTTACTCACAGAAACCTAAAAAATCCCCACCCAATAAGAAGTTACTTATTGTTTTAGAACTCTATTTAATTGTTAGATACACCTATATTAGACCTATTGAACCACCGCAACTTACCCATATTTTTCACTCCATAAGACGCACCTTTCCATACGATGCACCAATTTTTTCCACTCAATAAGAAGTTACTTATTGTTTTAGAACTCTATTTAATTGTTAGATACACCTATATTAGACCTATTGAACCATTGCAACTTAAAAGTTGGTTTAACAAGTACTGGCTTCAGCAGGTCTACTTTAGTTAAGACTAACAATTAGGTTTAGTCCAGTTACATATTTGTGAAAACCTTTTTTCTTTGTCATTTCTTAAAAGTAACTAAACTGTTATTTTCCATTATTTGAAAACAACTTGTTGGTACATAATACAAAACACACTCTGTTCCATCCACCTTGTAGTCATCCTAGCACTGCCAATAAAGTACAAGGCAGCAGCTTGAAGTTCTATATTTGTTGATCAGGATTTAAGATGCTATTTCTAAAGACCCTTTCCTTTTCTGGAGTAACAGGTATAATGGGAGAATATGAACCCAAAATAGAAGTGCAGTTTCCCGAAACAGTTCCTGCTGCTAAAGGTTCGACTGTAAGATTGGAATGCTTTGCCCTTGGAAAGTAAGTTTATAATAATATTTATTAATATTATGATAACTGCAATAGTTTTACAATAAACACAGTTTGTTTTCTTGTGTGTAAACCTCTTACTTTAGCTGTACTTCTTCAGCTGTATACAAATAGTGTCATATTCATACTCGATTATAAACTAAACAATACCTTAAAAGTACTACAATGTGTTACAGTAATAAGCTGACTTATTGCTGCCTTATATAAATGTCATATGGTTAAATCTTACAATTTTAAAAATATTTATCAAATTTTTAGTTTTTTTCACAATAATTCATCATTGGTTTTAAAATTCTAGGCAGTTATTATCGTTGTTACTACCAAAAAGAGACTGAGAGAAAGAGAGAGAAGATCAATCCTCTTGCATTTAAAAGACTATAAACCCTGTGATTCAGTGTGACTCTTAATATGAGTATAACAATGTCTTGGACCTACATCACAGAGAATAATGACTCATGGGTGCATTTGTGATGTTGGTCAAATTACAATTCAGTGGTGGATTTTCCATGGAATCTTTGCTGCTTCTAGGTGGAAAACTAACTTATTAAAAATTCGACTAAACATAATTTGCTGAAACAAAAGAAGATAAAATTAGAAATCTTCCTGAAATTGTTAACAGAATAAACATTTCACATTTTAAAGTAACTTCCCCCCCATCTAGAATTACTGTTGCCAGGATTCCTTGTGTTAGGTGTTCTGAAGGAGCTGTGGCTAGGGCAAAGTTGCCTTTTCTTCCCTTCCTTTCCCTTTATTTCTCTTTGTTCCACAATCTCCCAGCCATTATGGCCACCGTACTGATTGTGGGATTCAAGGAGCTGTATTCCCCCCCCCCAAAAAAAAGCAAGCAAGCACACAAGAAAAAAAAAGATTTTTCTGAGTTCTCACAGGAGATTCTGTTGCATTGATTAGGGATGCACACAAAGCAGAGACTGAAAAGTCATAGATGCACAGCAGGTGTTCCTTAAACTACAATACCCACTGAGATAAGTAAATTGACGGTCAATATAAGTATGCAGGAACTGTCTACTACAAGACAGACTCAGGAGAGAAAATAATAGAATTTTAATCTGAGAGCATACAAACACATCACCAACAGTGCCAACAATTTATAATTTTTTCTGGACAATAATACTATCCTCTCCCAGTCTCTGAGGATTAAATGATCCAAATGTTGTGTCACCTCAAAGAATAATTGCTATATTTTAATGGGAGTTTTTTGGGAAAAGTCCACTTCTTCAGATAGGACCAAGGATTCCTAGCACATTATGGCTGACATCCAGTTGGAATACACGTGTACCTCAAAAACCAGATAATGGTCGTTATCCAACAACTCATATCCTTAATTTAATGGAAAAAAGCCACACACACCTTCCATCCCTTTCCCCATTTTAAATTCTAAAGCTCTCTGGGGATCCCTTTTGCCCTTGGGAAGTCTCTGGGCACCTTAGAAGGTGATGGTGGAGGAAGACTTTTAATATCAGGCAATCACCAGTGGATTACCACATTCCCTAGGGAACCTTAGAACCTGAAGTGTGTGTGTGGGGGGGGTGGTCAGGGTAGGAAATTTTAATTGAATTGAATTAAATATATCTTTTGCTAGATGATATCATCTGGCTTGTGTCAACAAGATTTCAGCCAATATATATATTAGTATTCCAGATTTTTCTACAGTTTTTTGTATAGCTGTAATTAAGAAAGTGTTGATCTTGACATGATGCCACGTCAAAACAATTGACAATATTAATTGTTGATAATGGAATGTCTAGGTAAGCAGCACTTTGTTAATTACTGGACCACTATCATCCTAAAAGACTATTATCAATGTATATATCACCCTCTTTTTCCAATTTCACGTGGTCCCCACCGTTTCACCATGTCCATAAAATTCTGGCCTAACTATTGTAATCTATGTGTCTTTGGGAGTGATGTGATGTATGAAAGTTCACGCCGAAATAAATGTGTTAATCTGTAATGCACCACAACTTTTATGGTTTTCTTTTTGCTATACATGCTATCTCACTGGAAAATAGACATTGCCACTGTATCAACATATACAAAAATGTACCAAATGCTATAAAAATTCTTATATATATTCTCTTTGAAATTTTTACTTAGGTTGTTTTTTTAATGAGGAAGTTGTTTAAGCATTAGCTTAAAATGGCTTAGTTCAATTTTGTTGCTACAGCCCAGTGCCTCGGATTAACTGGAGAAGAACGGATGGAACACCATTTCCAAGCAAAATAACATTGAAGAAATCCAACGGCATGATTGAAATTCCCAATTTCCAACAAGAAGATGCTGGTCTTTATGAGTGTATTACTGAAAATTCTAGAGGAAAAAATGTTGCAAGGGGGCGCCTCACATATTATGGTAAGGCTTGTTTATAATAAAGAAATGAACTCATCACAGATTTATAGAAGAATTATAATTCCTTATACATGCATTCTAAGAAAGGCAGGGGAACGATGAACATTAAAATACACTTTAAGGAAAACATTATGCTTGCTAACCACCAGTTTCAGAAGGTATGACTTCAAAGCATGGGAATGTCAGAGGTAGAAATACCTCAACTAGTATTTTTGAGGAATAGAATAAAATGAAATAGCAAGAGAAAGAATGAGATCTTGTGGCAGGTTACTCAAAGTGAAGACTTGTTATGTTTAGTTGTTATTCTGAGGTGAATTCGCACATGCCAGCAGCCGAAGCATTTAGCTATTGTTCCACTCAATATTTTATTCCTGCTTGGTAGTTTTTTGAAAGTCTTTTTTTTTTTTAGTTCAGGACACTATTTAAATTTCTTCCTGAATGTATAAGGCCAGGAGCATTTTTTTTATCAGACTCACAATTTACATATATTTATTTGAGGAAGCCTCAAGTCTCTGTGTTGCATTTTCTAGTAAATTCCCGACTGGAATGTTGTCCTCTTTCTGAACTCACTGTGTCAGTGAGTGTAATGTCCAAGCCATTGATTATCACCTGATTTAACAGACTCACCATTTATACCCTTACTCAAGGGAAAGAACTTGGGTTTCAGTGTTTCATTTCCTGGTCAGTTGCTGACTGGAATGTTATTCTCTGTCCAAAGTTAGGGGCAAAAATATTTTACAGCAAGACCCATGATATTTCTTTACCTTTATTTTCTGTATAATATATATAATATACATATATTATAACAAATTGAAATTTGCAAGTCACATAGATTCCAGTAAGCAGAGAGAGTTGCCGTATCATTGCAACTAGTGCAAATAAAAATTATATTCAATGGCCCCTACCTTATTGCTTAAATGTGGAATGGAAAGGCAATGTTCCCCCAACTTTGTCTGGTTCCCTGTTGCATGGCCAGCAGCACTACCACAATATCACAGTCAGTAGTAGAATGGGTACATGATGGGAGAACCTATTCAAACAGATGCTTATTCTGCTGTCCTTCTGCTCTGCCTTTAGGTGACAGGATACTGACCAATTTCTTTGAAATCTGTAAGCACAGCAACACACAGTATGTTTAAATAAAACAGATTAGGACCAAGGAGTCACATCATACCAGTGTAATAAGCAATTATTTTGGCATACATCCAAGAGAGCTAAATACAATCAAATGTTTTCAGCACTCATATGTGCTGTAAAACATCATAGTATGTGGATGTAGCCTCCAACCTACTGCCCATCAACCCAAGCTGAGACAAAAACATTATATATGCCTGCTAGACCTCAAGTATTTCAGAGAGTGCCTTCTCCCAGGTAGACCCTGTCACATATACTCTTTAAGATTCAGTCAGTTAAGCTTGTGGTCAGTGCAGGCCACTTCTTTGTTTTAGTCTTCTCCTGCTTGTACCATCTGCTTTCTCTTGAGGCTCAGAAATTTGTCATATAGGCTCATTTAAAATGAGCTGTTTTAAATGAGCTGTAGTGTTTTTATAGCTCTTGTGCCTATTTGGTTTTATTTGTCTCTGGCCACCATATAGTTTCCACTCAGCTTTTCTTTTTAGTTAGTTTTATTGATTTTAGAAGCACTTTGATTTCACAAGTAATCAGAATCTTTGTTGGGGAAAGGAATATGTAATTTCTTCTGAAAAATAATGGCGAATTTAGAAAGTGCAATATCTAGGGAAACTGTCAACTGTTCCCTTTGGTTCTGCTTTAACTCCTCTATACCAGAAAGCCTTTTCTCTCTGGTACAAGAAAAAGATGACTTTCATGTACTGTACTTTTATTTTGCAAGAAAGTAGCTTTCTGGGTAAGTTGCCAATAACTGCTCAACTCATTCTAGAATGAAACTGTTTCTCCAGCAGCATCAGCACTCTTTTGCTGCAAAATAAACTGACTTTGGAATTAAAAGGAGTTATAAAAGCAGCTGGCAGGAAGACACAGCACTCTGCTGTTCAAGTGGGCAAATAATGCACTTTTTAAACAACTGCAGTGGGCGCGACCAACGTCTTTTGTACACCAAAGTTTGCTCTCTGTAAAATGTTGTTTATTCTCATCACAACAAATCACAGAACAATCTTAAGTGTACTTTTGGACTTTAAGTTGTTCGCACTGGTACAATCCTGATGAAGTGGTGTTTCATCCACAAAAGCTTGGTTTATTGTATGAGGTTTTTTTTAGTAGTTTATAAACATATTGCCTATTTTTGTATTTTGTAAATGTAGTAAACCCAGGTGCTCTTCCCAGAAGCCTTCAACACTGGCTATGCTGGCCAGGATTTCTGGTAGTTCTAGGTTATGCCATTCAAAATAGAATAGGGAAACCTGATGTGTTCTTCTGTCCAGTGGATCTTTCCATTTGTATTTTTCATTGAAAGTAATGGGGGGGGGTAGATGCAGAGTTGGGAAAAATTGTTGAATTCAAGAGTCTCAGTGAAACTACAAGACAGATTGCAAGAAGGCTTAAGAGGTATGTGTGCAGAAAATTGTGCATGCTGATTAGAACATGAATAATTAAGATGTGAATAACTGAAACAATACACACAGATACTTTTCTCAATACAAAAATTATGTGCAATTTTTAAAAATATATGTATATTAGCTAAATTATCTTAATAAAAACACATATGCAAATAAGTATTTACAAATTCCTATGCAAGAAAAAAGGAAAATGTTACAATCCAATAATAACAGAAATGGGAAGAAAATTCACGTGGAATTTGGAGAAGCACAACTGTAAAAATGCATTCCTGTGTAAAAATCATTGTACTTACCAAATTCATTCAGTACAGATGGGTGAATATTGTATTTCAGTTGTAAATTATGAAAATTTAGAAATCTCCTATTTCCTAATATGTATGGGAAGAACATGAGGTTTTAAAAATTCTGCTTTAGTAGAAAATGATTTTCTCATCCCTTGTCAGCACGGCCAGCTTCAGGAGGGCCCAGATCAAAAACTGCGTTGAACCTGCCCCAAAATATCTTTTTTGCAGCCTTCCACTTGATACCATGGACAAGAACATTGCTGATAGTAGCTTTTTCAGCATGGAGCTCTCAGTGGGCACAGCCAGGGCCTCTGCATCTGCTGGAGCTCATCTGTGCCTACAAAAGAGCCCCCTTTTAAAATGGCTAATCCTTTCAATCTAGTTGATGAATCACTGTGTAAAGCAGTAGTAACAAATACAACAAGTTAATTAACTTCTGCAAGTGAATACAAGTCTATCTGAAGCTGGCACCCTGAGTAACCTAGGTGATTTTGGACTGCAATTCCCAGAAGTCTTTGCCACCAGTTGTGCTGGCTGGGGTTTCTGGAAGTTGCAGTCCAAGAACACCTGGAACCGCTGCTCCAATGCAAAGGTTACAGTTCCCCAGTAGCCCTCCATACTGTCTGTATCATTCCATGTTTAGAAGCCATGCTTTTCAGTGGTTGTTTTATATGAAAAGGATGGTTTCTCTGGAATCCTGAAGTGAATTTTATGAACATGTTGCTTTACTTTGCTTCTTAAAATCATCATTCTTTTGAGAGAAGCTGGTATGAGAATGTTGTAATATAATGTGGGAAATAGACGCAGAACAGCATAAGAATCCCTTGTGCGTTCCAAATTATGTATCCATTGAATGCCAACAGAGCATATTGCTTCTTTCTTAATATCAAATGGTTCCACCAGTAAATAGTAACTGACAATTTCTGTAAAAAAATTACTCCCAACAAATGTAATTTTCTTTTTAGAAATGGCAAGTTAAGAAGCATTTCACTTCTCATCTGGAAAATATTTACATAACATCAACAAGGCATACAAGAAGATACCCAAAAATATTTTCATCACATACTTTTATTTCAATAAAATAGTATGCTATCATACCTTGTACAGTTTTCTCTACGTTTAAACAAAATTAAGACAAATAGGTTCGCAGTAAGAAACAGAAAAACATATTCAAACCTAGGTACCATTAAATAGCTAAAAAACTGTTCATCTGCTGGTTAACATAACAAATTAGACAATAAATATACAATGCCATGCACTGAAACTAAGATGAATTACCAGGAAAACAAAAAAGAAAACAAAACAAAAATAGTTTCCTAACTTAAGTACACACATATATATCTACAGTATAATTTGTTTGTATGCAAGTATTTTTATAATGGATATCATAGATTTACCATTAAGCTGCTAAGATTTTTCTATAATGTATGTACACATGGGCCACATATTCATATATGCCACTGAGCTGGATTAATTATGTAGTTAATGACCTCCTCATACATTAAAGTAACATAAGTTTATTTTATCAGTTTTCCACTGTAATCCATGTCATGAGATTAGCTGGTTTTATTTAATTTTTTTCCTATGCTGACATTTACTTGGGTGATGTATTTAAAATATCAGTCTGTTTATAGTTTAAAATGTATATTTATAATAAGGTTTTTTATACTCTATCTGCAGACCTGAATATTTTCAGTAATGCATGTTAAATATTAACCTGTCATGAGTTGAGATCTCAACTTAGATATTTTCTGCGTAAACTAAAATTATATGTATATTTTCCAGCTAAATGGAAATGTTTATTTTTCTGAATTTCTTGTTAGAACTTACTGTGGGTAACAGTACTGGTCACATTAAATCCCTTCAAATGTCATGCATCTTCTACTAATCAGTATATGCTGATGCTGATATTTGTTCTTTACTGAAAATATTTTCCTTTGACATAGGGATCAGCCCAGTTTAGAGGAAACTAAAGTGCACTAATCTAGAATTGAAGGAACTTGAAAAAGATTTAATAATAGTGCATATTTCTGCAAGTGTAGTAGAGCTCCCACATTTCTCAGATTAATGATATCAGATACAGCATCCATTGAAATAAGATTAAAAGATAGTACTGTACCTCTTTTAAAGCTCGCTAGTTTGATGGTGATGATTAATCCAATGAAAGAGATACTGACTCATG